AGAGGCACCTCTGTTTTGATCTGTAGTGAACTCTAGATTTGTTTCTCAATAGATTTCCACTTTCTCACGTTCGTTCGTGTCATTTGTGTCCCTTGCTCCCTCTTTTCCCTGAAGCCTTGCTAAGGCATGTTACCGTGGTACTACAATGCCTTGGCCATTTCTCGTTACCTCCATCACAAAAGGCTCTGCTGTTCTGTTTGTGCTTATAATGTACCCAGATGGTGAATAGAATGAGTGACCACCAAGCTCATTTTCACTTGTGGGGTCAGACCTTTTTCTGCTAAATAACACAAGTGTTCCCAGCTGCTGTGCAGCTGCAGGGAGTCTGCTTTCCTTCACAGGCATTAAAAACCCTTTAATCAGTGTTTGTTGTTTGTCAGCAGTGGTGTTGAGGTGTGGAGAAAAAGAACAGATATGCTTTGTTGGCAAAGTTAACTTCATTCTGACCTCTTATCTTCCCTTTTTCTTTTCAAGTCTGAAGAAGTAGAAAGCAGTTTGGGAAGTGGTTTCTGCAAGCACCTGTGTAAATGTATTTGCTAAAGGAGGAGGTTTGTGTCCTTATACAGATAGAATGTTTGACATCAAAAGATGCTCTGAGAGCTGCATTGAACTGGAAACTCTTTAGGGCAGGGACTCAAACTGGCTGGAGTAGGCACTGTGCAGACTCCCTTAGTGTAAATAAATGTTACATAAATACAAATATTGCTGCTTAATACTAGTGTTACTTATCTTAGTATTGAGTCTATATTCAATAGATCCCATTTGCAGTCTGGTCAATTTTAACTTTTTCCTGTTAAATAGATGATTCCTTCTACTTTTGGAAGGGGGTTTGTTCGTTTCGTTGTTTTTGTTTTTTCTTTTTAGCTGAGGTTTTGTGTTTGTGGTGGTTTGTTTGTTTTCCTTTTAGTTGTATACTTTTAATAGCTTTCTTCTCATGAAGGAAAAGGGAGGAGTTAAGAGCTGATAAGCTGTCTCCAATCCCATTTGCTTTGGATGTAGTCTGTTCTGAAACAAATGGGAACAGAGAAATCGAGAAGAAGCTTTGAAAAATTTCAGAGCTAAGATAATTATTTTCCTCTTCTTTCTAGATGAAGCTTGGAAACCTGCTGGTGCTGCACATGTTTGCAGGTTTGCTTTTTCTCTGAGTCCAGGTTTGCTCGCATTGTGTGTCTGTGTGTAGAGAACCAAGCACGGCTCTGTGAGTAGTGATTTAGTTGTTTGCAAAGTCTGTCTGTGTGTGCATCCTGGAGCTGTTGGGACATCAGGCTTTGATTTGAGCTTTGAAAGTCATCGTAGGACATTTGGCATTAAAGGCAGACTATTTAACTTGCTGCTCTTCACCTGGAAAGACCAGAAGATCACATTTCTGTCTCAGCTGTTTTTGGGGAGGATGGGTACCAGGCATTAGGGCACATTGCTCACAGCCCTCAGCCCAGCTCAGCAGTATCTCCAGCAGTGACCAGGCAGCTCTTATGGAGCAGGGCTGTGTCCTTGGGAAAGCAGTGCCTGTAGAATTTTTAAAATAAAAGTAGGATTTATAAAATAAAAATCGAACTGACTGTATATGGATTGTGGTCCTAGCTGTTAAAATTACAGAACCAAGGGGTCTCCCCATGGTACACAAGTTTTAGCATTCATCTATTCTTTTTCTTCATGCAGCTGAAGTTGCTTACAGTGGAGGTCATGCTCTTAGACCAGCAAAATGCTCAAGGAAGACTTTTTCTGCTGGGTAGGAAGAGATGTACACTCAAAGCATTTAGTATATTAAATGTCTGTGTGTGGTCTGTATTGACCATCACTTCTGCAGCCTGAATGCTTACCTGCTAGAAGGGGACAAAGAACCACCATTTTATACCTGACTGCTGTCAGGGCTGCTGACCAAAGATAAGGGCTGTGAGCTACAGTGGAGCAGGTACCCTACTCTTAAGGGGAGTTTTTGAAGCCCTTCAGATCTCCTGGAGATATTGCTGGCCTTTCTGGCAGCGTGGTTTGCTTGCGTGAGAAGAACTCTGATCAGACAGGTGTGATCCTGGATCCTTCTTGAATTTAATGCAGACTCACAGTTACAATCTACCTGAACAAAACAAGCACCATCTTGTGCAACTACGTAAACCATTAACTTTTTTGGGCAAGGCAGGTGTGGCATCTTCAGTGTCTGGAAAGCACCGAACATGCTGTGTGGGCGCCCTACTGTAATCCAAATTACAAATGCTAAAAAGGCTTTTGATTTTCTTAAATTTTTTTTTCTAATAACATGATTCTTGGCTTAATTTAGGTAGGCAAGAACTTCACAGACTGCATTGGGGTGCTCTGCATGTTTCCTCAGGCCCTCATAATTAATCAATGTCGAGTTGTTTCTCTGTCTGCAAGGAGGCACCTGAGGAAAGCTCTTCCACAGCCTTAGGTTTAACTTGTTTGTCAGCCCTAAGAACAACTTTCTATTCTTTAGAATGATAAAGGGGCGTTCTTGATGTATAAGTCCCCTCTATACTAAATATTTTGGTACAGGCTGTAGAAGGCTTGAGTTTTCATGATACAAGAAGACTATTAATAAGTTGGTAATAGTGTTTGATGATGAGAACCAGTATTCCAGATTTTCTTGTTGAACCTCTGGCTAACTCATACCTGTGGAACTCAGCTTCTGACAAGGAATTTGCAAAAAGTTTCATGTCTGTAACTCAAGTCTCCAGTTGTGATAAATAGGAGATCTGTGTGTTCCTTCTAAACCAGAATGGCTCCTGTGTTGAATTGAATACTTAACTGTTGCATGTGCACCATACTGTCCTATCAGGCAGCTCTGCTTTGCAAGTCTGTTTATACATACAGTGTCTGACATCCCATGCTGGGAGGAGGCTTCAGCATCTTCAGTCTGTTGCTCTTTGCTGAATGTTTACAGTCACTACCAATATTTGCATTTTGGGGGCAACAGAAAGACATTACTGTAGCCAAAGCAATTCCAAGTTAAGTTGTGATAGTCCAACCCTTGAAAAGAAAAAAATCTGGTCCAGCTTTACAGTGTTTTTATAGTCTAGTCCAGGTCTCTATAAACAATTTAAAATTGCCTTCAGGATTAAATTTTCCAATTTCCCATTTGGAGCAGGTGTTGCCAGGTTATAGAATGTGTTGCAGAAAAGGAACAAAAACATTTCAAAAACACCATGCTGTAACAAATATGTCAAGTCTGTGACAGAGGAGATCTTAAAAAATGTTTGCCCCACCAAAAGTAAAACGAATGCAAACCTTGCTTACTTTTCCCCGCTGTCATGTTTAAATAGGGGGTTTAGTAATGTATTAGTCTTCAAAAGATCCAGCAGTACAGTATGAAAATATGAAACTTCTCAATTGTTTTTCATTTAACTGGGGAGAAAAATTTTTTGTAATGAAAAACCTACCAGCAACCAAATTTCAGAGATGCATGTTCTTGGAGTGGTTAAAAACCAACCCAAACTAGGCTTCAGGCAATGTTTTTTCAACAGTTTTAACCTCAAAGCATAGAGTAGACAGCTTTGTAGGAAACTGTAACACCAAGGTGATTATGGCAGTGACTCACACTTCCCTGTAAGGCATCCAGCTATCAACACACTTGGAGAGCTGTGGCTTTGTGCATGCAGGCAGGGTGTCAGTCAGTGCCCATTTGCCAGCCAGCTCTGAACTGCTGAGCTCAGAACTGCTTTGACAGTGGGCTGGGATATCAGTGTGTTAGAGAGCAGCTCTGGTGCCCCCAGGCTTGCAAGGGGCTGTAGAAATGGGAGGTAGGGATGGGGAAGTGCAAGGCAGGTTTGACTTGCCTTTTATTTGCTTAATCCTCATGGAACTTGTTTGAAGAATCCTCTGAAATCTTCCTGTGAGCAAGTGATTGGGTTTGGGCAATAATTAAAGGTCTGACGAACCACTAAGTGGGGTAGTATGGAAAGAGAAAAAGGCTGCTACTATCATGACTTGCCAAAAATTTCTGCAAGCAAGTAGTTACGGAAAGATCACCTTCAGTTTGGATCCTTAGGAAAACAATATGAACTTGGGAAAGAGACCTGGGTGTCCCTATAGGCAGTTCAGAGTAGAGTTGAGGGTACAGCAGTAAACTCCTTCCAGATGTTGGGATTTGCAGGGAACAAGCAGACAAAAGGTGGGGACTCATGTGCATTGTGGGCTTCCCCATCACCAAAAATAAGGCAGAATGCCAAGGAAAACAGTAGTGATCATGATATGGAGAGAAGTGGTCTGGGTAAGAAATAGGAAGGTTGGGATTATTCAGACTATGCAAGACTGGCAAAGGATGCCACATTTGTACAAAATGGGTTGCATCATGATGGAATGCCCAGGAAGAGGCATGCAGAAAGATGATAGAAATTCAAGCTTCTGAAAGGAAATAGATTTTCACATAGTGTGCAATTAGATTGTGGGATGCATGAAGTGCAGTTGCCAGCTGTGCTGGGTGTCATCAGGAAGGAACAAAAGGTGACTTAGGGAGTGTGCAGGTATGCTCTAGTTGGTGGTATTCACAGATGATATAAACAATGCTTTCAAAAACATCACTGATACAAAACTGGTAACATGCATGGTTCAACTACCAAGGCCAATCTTGATAGTTTATTTGTATTCCTCCGTCTTTGGTGATAAATTTTTTATGTGTCTGACTAAAATTGTCTAGTACCAGATACTGTTTGTGGCACAGCACTGGGCAAGCTAGGCTGTTGTGACTCAGTATTGCCCTTCCCGTGTGGGTTGTGTTTGGCTTTGCACATCTTGCTTTTTTAGAGGTGAGGCAGAGTGAGTAATGTTTCCATTTTATTAAAAAGAATGGACTAGACCGTTAATATTTTTTAAAGATGTACGTGTTTCATTTAAAGTTCCCTTCAGGCAAAGTCAGCTTTGTTAGGCAGCTTAAAATGCATTATAGTTGTATTGTTATTGTCATAAAGAAAAAAATACACCGTGCTCAGTTTTGGGAAACCAAACCAAACCACTGTTTTTTCTCTCCCTCCTTTTTCCACGTCCTTCAGTTTTTAATAAGCGACCGTGACAGAGACCCGCAGTGTAACCTGCATTGCTCGCGGTCGCAGTCCAAGCCGCTGTGCGCCTCTGACGGCAGAACGTACGAGTCCATGTGCGACTACCAGAGAGCCAAGTGCCGCGAGCCCGGTCTGAGCGTCGCACACCGCGGCCGCTGCAAAGGTAGGTGCATTCCAAATGCCTCTGGGAGGAGAACTGGGGGGCCGACTTTGTAAGAAACTGAATTCTTAGACCTTTGAGTTTAGTACCGTGCTCTGAGAGTAATTTGAGCTGGAATTGTGCATTCCTGCAAGCATGGGTGTCTGAGTCTCGGTTTGGGCAATAGAGTATGAGCTGACTGAATTATCAATGAAAGAAGGCAAAGGAGCCGCAGGCATCACTGGAAAAGGGCTGAAATACATTTCTGCAGACAGAAACAGCTGGACCCATGGAAGTACAAAACCAAATCCTGAAAGCAGACTTCTTCCTTGCTACCTGTGCTGATGAGGAATCAAGACACCTTTGACTGGCAGGAATTTGGAGTGGGGAAGAATCTGATGCATACTAGATGTCTAGTCCCTTTTCAGACACACGGAGCCTTTCTGTGCTGAGCTATTTAAGAAGGCAGTGCATGCAAGGCTTTTTTTTTTAACATTTGCGGTTACACATCTACTTGGCAGTGTGAATACTGCCCCTCAATTCAGCTCTTAGTCTAAAGATGAAGTTGACACCAATAACTCTTTAAAAAAGTTTCTTGTCACACAAGTGATTTGCATTTACAATGAAGTGAAAAATAATGTGGAGTCCATTTTCTGAGAGCACAATTGGCTCAGAGGGCAGATGGCACAGGTGTTTTTGGCAGAGGATTAATGTGACAGGACAAAATCATTAAAATCCATGCGGCAGGATAAAAAAAATTCATTTAAGCCTGGAATTTAGTTATAAAGGCTTTTTTTACTATTGTAAAAATGTATCTTTGTTAGAATTACTTGATATAAAATGGAAAACTCTTTTCAATGTCTTGACAAACTTTATAGTTCAGGTGAATTATGAGCCTGACTTCAAATATTGCTCTCTTTTAAACAGTTTCTCATTGGAAAAAACTTACTCATATGATTTTTTTGTTTGTGTTTCCACCACTGCTGCATTGGTTTATGGCAGCTTCTCCCTTAGTATGGATTGAGGCCTTTGAATCAGGCTTCTTTCTAAATACTGGAAACGCAGAACCTTTCTTCACAGAGCTTGAGAGGCACTTGGATTGTTCTTGCAAGTGATGCATTTTTGAGTGTCACAATAAGAGGCGGTATAGTGAGAGTCCTGTTTTTTCTTTCATTCCTTGAGCAGGCTGTTTTAAATAAGCAGCTCCATAGCTGATATTGGCATATAAACGGGCACTGTTCAATTGCTTAAAACATGAGATCTGAAATGCAGTACATCCATATGCTAAACTGTCTATGGAAGTAGACAAAATTTGCTTCCCAAACTACATGGCCTACTTACTGCATATTGTGATTCCAGAGTCCCAAAGAAGTAACTGAGATATTTTTTTGTCTTGGGCACAGGTAAGATATATTTTCTTTCTGCTTTCTGATGCAACTGTAATGTTTAGTTGAAGCTAACTTGCATTCTCCTTTCCTTTTTCCTCTTACCCTGTGGTACTATACAGTACCTAACAGCCTGGGAGTGTTTTTAAATTGCAAATCTTGCTTTTAACCCACTGACGCTCCTGCCAATCCCTGTGAAGTAGGAATATTCTTTCAACTATCACATGCAAATTTAACCTAGCTGGTAATTTCCATATATGCAGCTCTTGAAAGGTATTTTGTTTTTCTAGCTGCATTAGGAACATGACCTCTAGTGCATAAAGATCACAGTTGCTGGCAAATCCGGGCAGTTGTGAGACAGCTGTGCTGAACTACAGGCTGTTGGCCAGGTCTGTATTGTGTACTTGCAAAAAGGAAGGTATTTCCAACAGTGTTTGAGCACCCTGTACTGCAGCAGGACATTGGGTATACCCTGAACAGCCTTCACTCCTCATGCATGACACATGCTCTGCAGGAGCACTCCCATGGAAGTGTAAGGGATCCCAAGGGCCATTGAGCTCAGCCACATACAGTTGTGAGAGATACTGCACCCAAGAGCTTATCCTTATGGAATGAGAAGTTTTAACTTGCACTTCACTCTCTGAAAGGGGAAAACAGCAGGCGATTAAAATAAGTAGAAGAGAAAGTATCCTGTGGACAGCAAGGCATAGTTTTGCAGCCCAGATTATCATAGGCTTCCAGTGTATATGCTGATGGCTTGAACTGTGCTTGTGCCAAGGAAAACAGAATGGTTTCCATAGTGAGAACAGAACCTTTTTGATTCAAGTTAATGCTCTGTTCTCTCTCAAGAATCTAAGGACCTTTAAAGATGAAATCTTGCCAGCCCTTTGGGAGCTATAACCCTTATTTGGCACTTGTTTGTTGCTAGCTTCCTCACGTGCTTTTCAATGAAATTCCTTCAGTGCTAAATTATCTGGACTCCCTCGAAACCCTCACGCATCACGAAGGGTTAAGAGTCAGGAGTGGCTTAAAGCGATCAAATTATGGCATCCCTGACAAATGGAGCCTCACTGATGGGATTCTAGAGAATAGTTCCAGATGCTATAGCTGTGTCTAAAATACACAGCCAAGCAATGCTACCTGAATCTTTTCTCAGGAGGCGTCATAATATCTGATGTTAAATAAGAGTTATACCTCACAACTTTGCGGCGGTGAAGGACAAATACTTGTTAATCTTGACAGCTTGCCAAGAGCCATTTATGCAGTGATTGTTTTACTGGTATGTATCTGTGGCTTAGAATACATTTAAGTTCTGTGTGAACTGGTTGATTTCTAGGAGCTTCTTTGGCTTATTTAATTACTATGCAGGAGTGTTCTAAAAGTTCTTTTTAGATTTATTAATTGGATTAATAAGTCTGCTGGTACAGAGTTTGCTCTTATCACAAGTTACTGTGTAGAGTGAACCCATCTGTAAGTTACTGGTGGAGATTGTAGCAGGACCTTCAGCCTTTCTCCTGAGACACAGTAAATGAACACAGCTTTTGGCTAATGTGCTAGAAAGGCAGGTCTTCTGACTGGTGGATTATTTGAAGATAATCTTCTCTACCTACTATTTTTGTTGGAAGGAGATGATGTTTTGAAACCAATTTGTCTGCTCACTAGATCCATGTGTTTTGTCTTCAAATTTGCTTTATTCTCCCTTGATTGTGAGTAAGAATGTCCTTCCTTGGCAGCAGTTAGTAAAATCTAAAATGTCTCTTGTGATCACTTCACAAATTTAGGCATGTTCTGAATAAATTAGGGAACTCTGGAGTAGGAATGCAATATGGATATCAAAAAAGGAGCAAAGTGCATTGATGTGAAAAGAAGACAAGAAGGTGACCAGGAGTAGTCAGTGTGGATGGGGAAGTCATGCTTAACCAACCAGATTGCCTTCTATGGTGGGACAGCTGGCTGGATAGATGAGGGAAGAGTAGTGGGTGTTGTCCACCTGGACTTCAGGAAGGCTTTTGACACCCTCTCCTATGATATCCTCACAGGAAAGCTCAGGGAGTGCAGACTGGACATGTGGACAGTGAAGTGGTTTGAGAGCTGCGTGAACAGCTGCCCAAAGAGGTTGTACAGTCTCTTCCTCTGGAGATATCTGTAGCTGTCTCTACTCAGTCCTGAGTAGCATGCTCCAAGGCACCCTATGTTAGCAGGAAGTTTGGACAAGATGACCTCCAGTGGTCCCTACCAACACAAACCATTCTCTGTGGGTGACCAAGTTTCAGATTCCTGGTGTAGCACTTGGCCCAAATGAAGTGGAAAACAGTGAGGAGTGACTAATGATTGATATCCTGTACAATAGACAGGCATGTTTTTGTAGTTTGCTGAGATCCATTTTTGCCTATTTTATGCAAATACACAGATAATTGAGTAGATGGGTATGAACGTGCTGACTTTAGTGTAGCTGAACTGCTTCATGTCTGGTGGAGACCTGGCCTGTATGAGACAGTTACCTAATGGAAATGAAAATAGTTGGATCAATTTTTGCTATATGAACTTTGGATACAAACATAGGAGAATTAAAATTAAGTAGCTTTAATAGATTTTAGTGGTCGCATCGTATTGATTTGCTGCTAGTGTTATGTGAATCCTGGAGATGTTTTACTTTGTGTTGTTAGGAGAGCTCGGGTCTTTATACTGTGATGTTGTATGGTGTCAATTCTGCCTCGGCCTGTTGAAGAGAGGTTGCTGGAATTCTTGGAGCCTGTTCAGGAGTGCAGTGTGTGTATTATGAGGGACATGGTGGTCTTGTTTGAATAAACTATTCATGGATAAGATCAGCCATGGTAACTAGCCAATATCATTGCAAAATCCAAATTATGTGCACCTGCATTCTGCTGATTAGGCCAGGGATGTCAAAAATATCGCTTGTCGTTAACAATCTCCTCATTGCCAGCTGCCAGCTTGAGAATTAATTTTCTTTAAAAGGCAGCTTTCTGAGCTACAGTGAATCTGTCCCAAGTTTGAAGATATTTAAAGTAAAATTCAGCAGGTCTGCTTTCAAAAGCAGTTATGCTGTTTTGGTTTTTCACCTAATGTAATGGAGGGAAAAGTGTCCAATTTAGTCTGCTTGAACCATGAAACTGGAATGCATTAATGCCATTCTGGTTTATAACCATGGTGTTTGATATTCCAGATAACATTTCTAAAAACAGTCAAGAAAGTGCTGAAACACTTGGGTAAGCAGTCAAAATGCAGAATAGGGTATATGAACCTACAATCATAAGATCAGGCTTTAGTAAAATTTGCAATGCATCTTATTTGGGGTGAGCTATTTGACAGTTACTTTTTAAACTCTTGGCACTTATGTAATACTTTACATTTTCTAATTAACAAAGCAAAAATAGCAAGGTGAAGTCATCTCACTGAAATCACATGTTGATGCAAACATTATAAAAATACCAGCCTGTGGAGTGAGGAAGAGAAGGATTGACAGTCCTTTTAAAAACAAACTGGTAAATGTTGATCTTAAAGGCACTGTTTTTACTGGAACTGATCTGTGGAAGACTGACAAAAAAGATAGCAATATGCATGCACCTCTCCACCCAGCATGGTATAAAGGTGTTCCAAATCAAGGCTGTAAAAGGACTGGCATGCCCTTTGGAAATCAGTGAGGGAGGATGGGAGAAGTAATCAGTCCTGAGTGTTCATGAACAGGAGAAAAACTCTCTCTTCTCTGTACTTCAGCAGCAATTTGGGAAGAGTCACTGCTTGAGCCAACGATTGAAGTGCAGAAGATGCTGCAACAACGATGAGCTCTTCAACACTGTGGTGTGGTGGTGGTGTGCTCTGAAGTGTGCTCTGCTGGGTGGGAGTAGAGAGTTCAATCTATAAAGGCCTGTTAAAATTGCCAGGAGAGACATGGTAGCCTTAGCAATGATGTGTTTATATTATCTTCTGAAAGTAAGGCCTTGATCTTGTGCATGTTTCTTTGTTGATTAGACAAATTGGACAAGAAATGGGTTAGCTTCCCTTCTGCCTGGACTTCTAATGTATTTGTACTGTGGGGGATCTCACAAAATGTTTGTTTCTACCAGCTCAGTGCTGATGTATTCAGTTTCAGTCTTGTAGTTGTGAGTGTGCCAGCACTAAAGCAGATGGTATATGGAAGTGCTTTATGCTTCTGTTTTATGTTCGGGAGAGGAACCAGAAATCCCTGTCTGCAGTCTTGTATCCTCATATATAGAGACTAGAAAACACTTTAATTTGGGAATTTGTGGTTTGATTGTCATGTAAGAAATTCACACCTGTTTTTTTCCTTGCAAGTGCACATCTCCATAATCCACGCTGATTTTTTTTTTTTTTTTTCTTTTTTTTTTTTGCTACTTAGCTGTCTCCTGTGAAGCAGAAGTTGAAAGTGTTTTCAGTCAGGCAGATATGAACGAAAGTGCAAGGTTAGATTCTTAAGCTTGAGCAGGAGATCTGCAGGTGATAGGCGTTCCAGTTAAAAGCATTGCAAGTTCTTCCTTTTCAGCTGAAAGAGTGAGCACGTTTGGAAGATCAGTTGGCAGGACTATCCTCCACTGGAGATGTGCAAACAAGGTCTGATCATCTGGTCACATTGGCAAGCAGACAAAAAGGAAATTCCATGTCAAAGCTGATGGAAAACTAGAAAAAACATACAGTGTAAATTTTATTCTTTTTTATTCTGTAACAATTTCACTCTTTATACAGGTGCATAGTGGGCCCACCTAAGATCAAAGTTCCACATGCTTTGGTATTTTGCAAACACCCAACAAACAAATTAGTCTCAAGATAAGTGACATAGGATGAGAAGTGACATAAGGTCACACAGGGGTGAGGTGAGCAACTTGTAGTCACTCAGTGGTCATTGGCAGAATTGATACAGGTACTGTTGCTTTCTAATGCAGAGTCTAAGCAGCTGGCATCTTTACTGTATACTATTGCCCTGAATCATTCTTTTTCCAGAGAGAACAGTTTGATTTTCATAACTTCAGAAGACTTGTGAAATCCTTCTTGGGAAGTAATGTGATCTATTTAAAATGAAACTGTGTTGACAAAAACTTAATCTCTTGAGTCATCAGATGTATAAATAAAGTGCTCAGCCTGAAAGCTGTGGTCTGTCTTTATCAAAACTAGTTACAGCATTGTCATTGATTTCTGTGTCTAGAGATGCTTGGATGGAAGTTACTTCTATTGCCACACAATGTGAACTCAGTTGCTCTAAGAACCCAGACTGACTTTCTAATTTAATGCTGGTATTAGTGATTCTGTTGTCAAAGTTCATGTGATTGATGAAACAAAATGGGATCTTCAGGGATCCAGTGGAATTTTTTGTTAACCAATATGATTTCCATGCCTGGTACAATGAGGATTGAAACTTGTTCACTGTATGGTGCTGCTAAAAGATTTTGAAGTTTCTGCACTAAAAATCTTTGGTCAGTGGATTCATGGGAGAAGAAAGAAGGTGCTAGTTCTGGTGTCAGAGTGTCATGGAAACAGATGTTCACTGTTTCCCTTCTTTTTCTAGACTGAACAGCAGTATTGTTAGACCTGATGTTTTAAAATATAAACACTGAGTCAATCTGGATCTCCGCAGGGCAGAACTTCCCTCTTTTTACCCATCAGTCATTAGAGTTAGACTTATCTGGGTATGCTCTGTAACCATGAGCTCCACCTAGAAGGGTTTAAGGTCATGCTACACTTTGCCATCATCTGAAGTAAGAACTGAGATCTTAACCCCTTCAAACTCTGCTTGCAGAGCAATTTTTTTTTCTTTTCTCCAAAGTGAGTAACTGATATGAGAAAGTTGTAATGCACACCTGGCTGTAAGCACTGGGACTAGAGGTAAAAGCTGGGTTTCAGGACAGCACAGAAAATGGTGTATCTGCCTCATCTGAACCATACAGAGGGGGAAGTTCATATGGATGGCTGGCTATTTTAGTATCTTCCTGGGAGATACTTCCCTCTTCAGAGAAGAGGGAGTCATCAGTTCTTTTCCACACTGCTCACTGCTTGGCCTAAATTATTTGGTGATACTCAGCCATCCAGTTTCAGGCTGTTAATTGCATTTCATTGTGTGGGCATTGTGCTCCAGTGCTGGTTGAAAGAAGCTTCCAGGTGACCATAAAAACTATTGGCTAGGAAATTAGGCAGTTCTTAATTAACTGACTTGTAATTTCATTGTCTGGGTTCATATTTGTCTTTAGGATTATGAGTGATAACTCTATATCTACCTTGTGAATGTGCAGGTAATGGTCTTTTATACTTCATATTTATTTGTTTTGGGGGTTTTTCCCTCGCAGCTGCGTGGGTCGTCTGCTAGCTTTTGGAGAGGCCAAATTGCAATGTGAGTTCTGCTTTTCTCTTTGTAGATGCTGGCCAAAGCAAGTGTCGATTAGAGAGAGCTCAAGCACTGGAACAGGCAAAGAAGCCTCAGGAAGCAGTCTTCATCCCAGAATGCAATGAGGATGGATCTTTCATGCAGGTAAAATTTCTATTTGCTTCATTCAGCCAGGCTTCGGGTGTCTATGGGAGATTCAGTGTTAAGGGGTGAGCCAGGTGATGATAGCAGAGTGGGTGCACACTCTGACCCAGTTATTTGGGTAAAAATTTGAAAGCTGGGAACTTTGTTAACCAAACAGAAGTTTTGATTCCGTCACAATACCTTAAAAGACATACACATATGCAATAGCATCCAGCTCCAGTGTATTACAGAAAAAAATGGCATTAATTTTCAGCGTTGCATAGAAAAAAAAACAGTTGCAGGGGAGGTCAATTTTTCCATGAAGAGGGGCTGCAAAGAGAGGTGTGGCTTACATACACAGAGCAGGGTGGATGCAGCTGATTCTGCTCTTACCTCTGTTTCATCTATCCCAGGAGAAAAAGCAGTCTGTTCAGCCTCTTCCTTCTGCTGGTTACTTTTTGTGATATATATATCCTGTAGTGATTTGGAGGACTGGCAGAGAAGAGATGAGACTGTTTTGTTTGGGTTTTTGATTCCTCACTGTTCAGTTGCTGAAGTTTGCCAGAGCAGGGTAGAAATGAAGAGTGATACCTGGTTCTGTTACCCCTTGCATATTGAGCAATGTCCTAGTGCTGACTGAACTGGTTGTTAAAAATGGCTCATGCACAGTTTCCTGACACAATTTCATGCTATCTGCTCAGTTTTGCATGCATCTAAAAAGCTAAAAACCTGCAACCTACAAAACCTGTGACCTCTACTTTGTGGGTTTAGATAAATCACAGAATGTTTTTTGCCTAACTTTTCATACATCTCATACTGCTCTAGATACTTTCTTTCTTGGAGAAATTTTAGGATATATTGGTTGTTTGCAGGGTCTTCTGAAGTTAAAAGAATGTCCAAGACAGAATCAATATTGGCTTAAAAAAGATGAGAAAGGCAGAGAACTTTGGATTTGGTTCAAACATTTTGTGATGCCTGGGGGGATAGGAGAGGAAAGATTTTTTTTGTGATAACCCACCAAAAATTTTATTCCCCTCAGTCTTACCCTCCCATTATCTGGTGTGTGGGAGTGTTTTTGTTTTGTTTTTGTTTTTTGATGATGATGTGGAAAAAGTTGTATTCATCCTGCAAACTCTGCATGCTTCTTTAGAGCAGCATTCTGTTTCTGTACTGTGTGGACCATCATGGTAAGGTTGGGATAAGAGAAGATGGCTGCAGTTTCTTGCAGTTTAAGTGCACTTTCAATTGTTGCAATTTGATTTTGTGTAGAGCTTCTCAGATTCTGTTGGCACTGGAGGCTAATGTTTATAAAAGCTATCACAGTGGGCCAACATGGAACAAAGTGTTCCATGTTAAATTTCATAGTTCAAGAAAAAAAGGGTAAGGAAAGCAAACTTTGAAATGTCTATTGTCTGTCCATCAACCTCTTGGAGAGGAAAGTAGGTGAAATTTTTATCCTTATAAAAGATAAGGCTGGACTGATAGTATAGTTGATAAAGCTTTGTTTCAGACAGGTTTATTTTGAAGGTTGGTACCAGTGTTTGGATTGTGGAGAAGTTGCTGGACTTTTCCTTGGCACATTCCTTAGCCAGTGCTGGTTGCCAGTTGAGGGACAGCATGAAACTGCTTACAAAAATTGTGTGGTGTCAGTTGGCAGCCAAGTGGTATTTCACATTCTTCCTCCATTCAGTTCTATCTGTGAACACTATAAAGTGCTTTTGTTTTACCTGGCATGATGAAGGAAGCCTCTGATCTCTTTGTATCTGGAATTAACTGAAATTCATATAATTCCTTGGTTCATAAAAATACCCTGTGTTCCACATACCTTATGAACCAGCTTCATCAGTTATATTGCAGCATTTAAGGTAATTGTCCCTGCATAAGATTTAAGTGAAAAATAATGTCCAAGAAAGCTAACTAGTTTCAGGCTGCTTTTGAGACAAATATTTCCTTTAGCTTCTGGTCAAAACAAATTAAATTTTGATTTAAAAAAAGATGAATAAAGACTAGAATTTTGGTGAACAGTCTAAACAGTTTTGCTTCCAGCAACTCATGAATAGATCTCATCTGATGGAGGGATTTTTTGATACTGCATCTCTTGTGCAGAGAATTGAAGCTCCTGGGTTCTGCTCTACAGGGAGGCTGTGTTCTTGTGAAGCCCCTGAGGCCTTGCTGAAGTCAGCTCTGGACTGTTGTTAGTTTATTCTGGTTCAATACCTGAATGTTGCTCCATCTAGACTCCAAAATCTCAGATGGGAAGTCTACAACAGAACAGCATCTCTCAATTAAGTTTCTAGGAAGAATACCCATTGTGCTCTTCAACATGGAATCCCCATCCTAACAAGAGTCTTAAGCAGATGCACACGTTTCAGGGTCAATAAAGTTGGCTAGGGAGACTCCTTCAACAACTTCCCTCTTTCTGTGTAACTGTTATTGAAAGGGAGTTTTATGTAGGAGAAAAATTCTGATCAAAGATGCATGCATATATTTAGAATATCAAATGTCTGAATTGTTACAGCACTCATTCAAGATGTAGGTTACTTGCTTTTAGGTCATCTTGCTGAGCCAACTGAACACAGTAGTATTCAGACCCACATCATTGTCCTTGCCATCAGACTTCAAGAGTCTGATATTTAATTTAACTAATTAATTGTTGGGAATTCTTGAAATTTTTGTAGGACTGAAAAACAAGAGCGGTACAGATGTGGGAGAATTAGGTAGTAGTATCTATGTTCAGAGAACCTGCTTGGCCTTAACTAGATTGAACCATTGCTTTTGTAGTTCATCATAATTATCTTGATTAAAACTAAACTGCGGTCACTCTGGGTAAACACTGAAGGTGGGGCTGTTCCTCCGAAAGCAGCTCAAGTTTGCCCTTTCCAGCTGCTGGAGCTGTAGCCAGTTCAGTGCTGGATTTGGGGCTGGAGGCACTGCAGACTGGATGGGGCTGCAGGGGGTGATGAGAACGCAGCTCCTCTGCCAGAGCATGTGCCACGCAGGCAGCGACTGCAGGAGGAAGACCATGCTCACCTTACTTCCTCCTGCTTTCCCACAGGGCTGGATCTACCATAGTTAGATGTGGCAACAAGGGTGAAAGGGAGAAGGGCCTAAAGGCAAAGGCCTTAGTTTGGCTTGCATTTAAACCCTTTTGTAGAGAGACATCATGCATGTCTTAAAACACTTGTATGACCAGTCTGGTTTTAATTGCCTGTGAAATTTAGACTGAAATCAGTGTTGCCACCAATTCTGTTGCTCAGCTGATCAGTTTTCCAGTTTTCTTATGCATGACTAGTTATAATGGGGTTTGTGTACTGCATCAAGAGGAGCTAGCACTTGTCAGTTCACTGGCTGTTGTAACTGTTTCTATGCAACATGTGTGCTGCTTCCCTTGTTGAGTACGTGTATTGCAAAGATCTTATCAAGTCCCCTTTTAGTGCTACTTAGGCATCTACAAATGGGGCATGCATTTGCAGGATGAAGAAGTGATGCCACTTGCAGGCATGATGGGATGACTGTAAATGGGGAAGCAGATCGGATTAATTCCTCTGGAATTGCTATGTCTTTATGTTTCAGTCTGTGTGGGGAATATTACTTCCTATAACAAAATCTCTCTACACTTAGCCCACAGTAATATAAGCAGGCAGATAAAATTTGAGTTATTCACAACATAAGAATGTTTGCTAGATACGAGTAATTTGATTAATTGTAGAAAACTGAGGTCACTTTTGTGCAGAATTAACCATGACTAAAACCAGTTTGTCTTCCCAAGACTTTTGCCTTTTTTGCTGGTATTCTGTATTTTCCATAAATGTCATTCCTTTTCCATGCTGCACTTAACCTGCTGTGATCTGTTCTTCATAAACAACAGGAACTAGTGGGTAATCTGCACACTTTCTTTTGCTGCCTAGTGCCATTGGGCTTGTTGCCACAGGCTGAGGGAGACTTGCGTTCTTCATACTTTTTCCCCAAGCAGTTTTTCAGAAAAGGTTGCTGAGGTTTTAAATGGGATCTGTTTCAGAGAGATTAATATGAACATGAATAATGTTAATCCTGCCTTGGGGGTGTAGTTTTGTGGGACTTTGTGGTATGTCTTGCTGTTTGCTGCCACCTTCCACTGTCTAGTTGTGGTTTCTTTTCCTTACAAGTCTGCATAAAACTGAGGACAAATCTCCTTGGAAAGTTTCTTTGAGTTTAGGGTTCTTAAAATCTGGCTCCTGGTGCAGTTATGATGTAGCACTGAGATTTCTGTTAAAATGAGTGCATCAGTCAAACCTGTGGTCTTATGACTGGTCTGACAGTCAGCCCCCCTAATGAGGGGCTGGCTGTCAGAGCAGTTCTGCATTATCAGATAGCTTCCAGAGCATTGCCACATCTTGTAATATAAGTCTGCTTGGAGAGAGAGATCAGTATTATGTATCAGTATTATGTATCAGTATCAGTATTATGTATCAGTATCTGTATTATGTATCAGTATCTGTATCAGTAGTTTCACTCTACATTATGCTAATACACATAAAAAGTTCTGTTTTCTCCCAGGTTCCCCAAACAGCCCTTTCTAAAGATGTGGGGACTCCTTTCAGCCTTCAGTGTGATTTCATGATCCAAGTCTGCTCCTCTGTATTGGCTAGTGTAGCATGATGCTGGGCAGAATTACAAACTCACTTCTTAATGCAGCAAGGTACTGCATAGACATCCTTCATTACCAGGATGCTGTCTGTTATTCCATTATTCAGTGCTCAGATTCCAGCAATACTAAGCTCTCAAAGAATTCACCTCTCATTTCAGAAGAACACGGTCTGTCTTGCTAGATTAAAAAAAACTCTTTAAAAAGCATCTGGTTTTTAAATGGTAGGTAGTTCTGGCTTTTTTTTATTAAAAGATATCCCTTCTATAAATGATGGTAGCTGTAGCTTTCTGTGAATACTGCTCTGCAGGTTTGCTACTTAAACATTTGCCTTCTTCCTGTGGCTTTCATTGTATCTCTCATTTGTATGTTGTGCTAAAGATAAACCATGAATGGG